AAAATGCACTGGTTGAGTCAAGAAGTGGAGGATGGGGAAAGGGCAGATGCTTTTGGCTCCAACAAAGATAAAACTTGACTCACAGTGACTTAAACAGAAAATGCTTCTCTTCCCTTTAAAAAAGGAGTGGTTGTTGACTCTGGCTCATTTGAGTTCTTGCTCATACAGCTCCACGCATCTGAGCAAGGGCAGTGGAGCAGGAGTGACATCTGTATCAAGAAACTAAAAGCTTCCTCAAGAATACCACAGCTGACTTCTGCTTACCTCCTAGTAGTGAGATGAGATGTGTCACATCATCATTCTTGATGACGACCAAGAAAATACATCTCTCTGGAGCTAAGCTATAAGGGTGGACTTATGATTGATACAGAAATCACAACTAGGGGCACCTGGGTGGCTCAGTAGTTGAGCGTCTGCCTTCGGCTCAGGTCACGATCCTGGGATCTGGGGATTGAGTCCTGCATCAGGCTCTTCACAGGAAGCCTTCTTCTCCCTTTGCCTGTGTCTCTGCCCTTCTCTCTCTGTGTCCCTCATGAATAAATAAAAAAAATCTTTTAAAAAATCACAATTAACAAGATGGATTATATTATTAATATTACTCACAAAACAGGTAAATTTTGCCAGACCAGTCGTGAACACCACCTACTTAAACTCAAAATATTTTAATACCACTTCCTTCATCCTTTATGTCCTGGGTAAGAATCACAGACAAGTGAATCAAACAGTAACTCCACGTGGATTCACAAGTCTCACAGTCTGTAACTGCAACTCTCCTAAGTTTACAGATTATGACCAGTACCTGCCAGGATCCCCCGGTGCTCACTCCCAGTTCAACCCCACACAATTCCCCCTTTGTGATATCCTGTGGGAGGAAGTGACCAAACCTAACTGGGGGTATTTTATAAGCTTTTTTGTTCTTAAATGTTCACACCTACAAAGAAGTTAGAAGTGGACTGAGACTGGGAGTTGAGTGGACACCTGAAGACATTTGCTATGGGAAGCCCACAAAGCAAGGGCACCAGAAGCGGATTAGAGATGACAATCACCCAGGCGAAACAAAGAAGTTATCTGCTAGATATATATATATATATATATTTTTTTTTTTCATTTTCAGAGACTGTTCTAGCGACTGAAGGTTTGATGAAGGTCCTCCTCCCTAAGAGCAGGGTATCCTTCAAAGGGTAAAGCTACAGGCTTCCAATGTTGGAAGAGGATTTCTGCCCACTGCTCACCTTCTTCCCTTCCAGGTCTATAGCTATTTATGAAATATGGTTAAAGAAACCAGAGGCGCTCAACAGGCAAACATGGAGATTTCATCAGACACAGCATTTTATTGTGTAATCTCCAGATACACGCTTCTTACTAACATATATCCAACTGCTTTCCTGACACAGCCACTAGCAGACCTTTCAGTTCATGCCCAACACTGAATTCCTGATATTTTTCCTCAATCCTTGACCAATCTTCCCTACCATTAGTCTTCCCATTGGGAGATGGTGACTCCTTCCTTCCAGCTGCTTAAACTAAATAATTTGGGTGTATACTAAATAATACTCTAATGCTTAATCCATCAAGAAACTCCTATTGATTCTATTTTCTAAATATATTTAGAACTGACCGCATCTCACTACCCCTTATGTCAGCACCCTGGTCTTAGGCCATCAGCACCTCTCACCTGGAGGTGATAATAGGCTTCTTGCTTCTACCTTTCTTCCTGCCACAGCCAGAGTTATTCTTTTTTTTTTTTTTTGAGTTATCCTTTTAGACTGTAAGCTAGATCATGTCATTGCTCTACTCTGAAACCTGCAATGCCTCCTTAATTCCCTCAGAATAAAAGTCAAATCACTTAAATAACCTACAGATCTCCAGAACTTCTCTGGTCTCCTTGCCCCGGAACTCTATTCCTTGTCCTTCCAAATTTGCCACTCTGGCCCCATGCTGGTCCTAGATCATGCCAGGCTGCTTAATTGCATTGACTGTTTTCTCTGTATGCCTATTTTCTTGTCAACAGAATTGGCAAATTCTGTGACTTCTTTTAGGTCTTGAACCAATAACACCTTTTCAAGAAGGCTAACTCTGACCAACCCATTTAGAGTGCAACCCAACACCTCAACCTCCTGGAATGCCAGTGTTCCTTGATTTGCTCTACTTATTTTTTTTTCATAGCACTTAATTCTTCTAACTTACTATGATTTTTTACTTATTTATTACATGTGTTCTTCTTCTGCTTTCCGCAGAATGTGAGATTTACAAGTACAGGATCTTTGTATGCTTTGTTTAATGATGTATCCCAAGTGCCTAGAAGAGTATCTGGCATCATGGCTACATCAGAAAATACTACTGAATGACTAATTCTCTAGTTTGGCATGCTTGCTTTTTTCTTGGTTCACTGCTGTGCTCAGAAAACAAACAAGTAAGTAAAACAAGCCACATGTAAATCCACACACAAAGATGCAAGCTCAAATCATAGGGTATTCCAGTACAACACACAGCAAACCCTCTTACAATCATTCCCCCAAACTATTTCCCTAAGTTCTACTCATCAAATCATTGCAGCTGCTCCTATCATCGCCAAACATTTCATAAAAATTATGTCTGTGGTAGCTTTTCTATTTTTTGGCCCTATGTTCTCATTTATCCTTTTTTTTTTCAAAAATAGCACTCAAATCAATCAAGCTGAAATCTGAGAGTAGCAAAGTAAGAAAGAGCTAGCGTAGGCTTACTTAGGGAAAATTTAGATAGTTTGAAAATAAAATGGCAGATATCGGGCAATTGTAAAGTTTAAGTTAGTGAGAAGGAAAACATCAAACCAGAGATGGGCTGGGAATGTATCCTTACAGTTTTCTGGTGGGTCACTGTTATATGAGGACAAGCTAAAACCCCTACTCTCACATGGAAAAACACAGATTAAGGGGGAGTCATCAATGAGCTCCTCAATGGCTGGAATAAGATGAATACAGTCCCGAATCATATATACAAAAATACAACACTTCACAGAGTAAGATTTTGAACTGGAAACATTTTAGGTGAATAAAGAAATTTGCTCTTTCACATATTGGTAATTAATATACATAAGCTGTTGTCCTGATGATCATTTTGCAATACAAAAAATATAATTATCAATTCACTATGTTGTACACCTGAAGCTAATATGGTGTTATATGTCAATTATACACCAATTTAGGAAAAAATAAGTAGAGCAAGCAGAGCAAGTAGAGCAAGCAGAAAATAGACTTAAGAATCGTGTGACATGTCAGAGGTGACTACTTTCCCATAACTACTCTTCTGGGTTATCATTCTGGAGGATATAAAAGACATATTCTTTGTTCTGCCAGCTACAGGACACTTGGCAGTGTGGACAATGAGACTGATCCATTCTGGAAAAAAAATACTTTGTATATTCCTGTATCTGCCAAAAATTGAAATCTGTATTCCCTGTTCTTCATCTTTTCTTGCATTGTTCTTCTCCTCACAAATGATATTTGTCATTCTCTTCATTTACAAACATCCCATTCATTCTTTGGGGGCCAATTAAGTGCCTACTCTCTCCATGGAAGTATAACATTAAAGTCTCAATGTCTTACCCGTAGTTCTTTGCTAGCAAACAATTTAAATATAATGTCCAGGATACATGCTGTTCGAAGTGAAATAGCAACATCACCATAAAAATCTAGCCTGTTTACAAAAGCCGAATGAATTAACTTGGGTGTTGTTGACAGAAATTGTTGTATCATTAAAGCTACTGACATGGAAAATGGACAAGGTACTAAAATTACTCAATATGCTGTATACCTATTACTAAGAAGGAAAATCTTCCTGTATGGAAAACAATTAATAAAATTTTATAGAGAAATATCAAATATCAGAAATATAATCTTAAAACATTCATCTCTCAGTTTTTCTGATTATTGCTACCCCTTGCTTTAGGCAGATATAATACCTGTTGCATTACTGCTGGTTCAAAAATTAGGAAGATATTTCCATTAAAATTGTTCACTGTTTTGTTTAAATATAAATTGTTTAGGCCAACAGGATGAGTATTTACAAACATGTAATAGAAATGAGAACTATAAAAAAAAAAGAAATGAGAACTATGCTAGGTTATCAGGTCTTATTATAAACATATAAGGCTTTAAAAAAAGTCACATTCTATAGCCACTATTTGAACTGTCTTTTACCATTCACATGGATACAATTTTATTGAGATTATATAGAAGCAAACTAACTGCATTATAGATGATTTTATATATTTTTAAGATTTATTATATGTCTTTGAATGACTTTCCTAAGGATCTCCTCTTAAATGAAATATGGTGGTTAGAGACTGAAGGTCTACAACTTGTTGGGGGCAGACTGGGACTTCTGAAGCTTTCATCTTCCCAAATAGAAAATTAATACAATTATTCTTCAGGATAAGAAAGCCTTCTCATAAAAGATTTGAATACAGTTTAGAAAGTCACCTAAATTCACCAGGTTAGATTCAAAACAAAGTTAGCTATAGTTCATTTATGGATGAAATATCTCAAAAGGTTTTTTATGGTGGAATGAAAGGCACTTTTTAGAAGTATATCAAAGTTAGTGTAAGTAATGATGTCATAATACTTCATGTAAGAGTTGTATCTTTCTGCTCTGTGAAAAGTCAACTAAGTTTCTATAAAAAAAGTTCCTCCTTAGATTTGCAAAAATGAATACAGATTAGATTTTGCAATATTTCAGCATATATATTTTGTAAGCAGACTCAATTACATTAAATATTCTGCTTCAGTAAATTCCCATACTGCCTGCCAATATTTTTAAAAGTTTCTTTTCCTTCAGCCGAGGGCTCCAGAGGGGACAATATGCTGAGGATGAGTCGTGACCAAGACAAGGAGATAAGGGACATTTCTGCTTCTGAGTGTAGGAAGCAAAATGTAAAATAAACCGAGTTCCTTCATAACTCAGCCATTGCTTGCAAAATTACAAAGTGGGGACAATTTGAGGTCGGATGAACGACTGAGTACCTGTCAATGATGGCACACATGTCGATGCTGACATTTGCAAAACTGCCTGGCCTCCTCTGAGCCACTTCGTATAAATTCACCAGTTGGTCGTCCACTTGGATGAGCTGCATGCATCCTTGGAATGAAGGCTGTAGGACGGAGTGACTGGAGTTATTCATCTGGTTCAGAAAACCTGTAAGAGAGGAAGTGGAATGTTATATTCTATGTACGGTGTGCCCCACTAACATTCCTCCAGGTGGTTTCCCTCACCACAGTCATCCTGTCTCGTTGATCCTTGTTGACGTTGTACTCAATGTAAAAGAATGGAATCTTTTGAGAAAGCATATTATTTCAGGAGGAAGAAGGCAGGGCTGAACCCAGGCCAATGTTTGGGGGGCCACCATGACTCCTATCTTATCTGTGGCATTTTCTTTCTCACTTTGCACATCTCCCTGTTCCTCTGCTCTTAAAGACTCACTGCTACAGTTCCTCACCTGACTCTCTCTTCAGAGATTAAAACATAAAACTTCAGACCTATCCCAACTATCCCACCACCTTTCTTTTATGCCTTCAATATTTACTTCTATTTTCTTGGTTCCCTACAGGCCTGTTCTTCAGATGTCAAGAAGCTAAACTATTATCGATTATGATGGATTTTTCTTATGGATTGTCTAACTCAACTCAAAGAGATATTTGCATTACAAATGATTTCTCAATTTATAAAATCCAAAGAAACATTATAAAGAAAAAAAAAAACTAGGAAGAAGGCTCAGCCACCCTCCTCTGAATATCCATCTTATATAGCTAATAGGGTATAGGGAGCATAAATGAAAAAGGCAATAAATACTAGTGGTTCTATCAGGAATGGAATATATACATATGAAGTTTAAAATCAAACATTAAAAATTTTATCACAACTTTAAAACAGCAACACCAGTCAATTACCTACATTATGCCTTTTTAATAGAAAAAGTCATAATTCTTATTATGTGTATTAAATTTGTAAGCCACAGGAAAAACTATTTTTTTATCCCATTAAGTATCTCCAGAAAAATCTCAAAAAAGCGTTTACTTCTTATATTGTTCCTCACACCAAGTTTACCTACTAGAGCAAATCTGAACTGTACTAATTTGTCTGCTTAGAATTCTGAAGTTATTAACATATTCATTTCAGTCTAATACTGTAGCTATAGAAAAATTTACACAGAATGGGTTGTGATCAAGATGTGTCATTAAGTGGATAAAGATAAATTTCCAAGAGAAAACTTTCCTGAAAAATTGACCATGAAGTAATTTTTGTAGATGTCCTTTTTGATTAGTAATAATAAACTAGGACAATAGAAACCTTCTTTCTTCCATTACTAATGGGGTATGGTATGTAAAGTCTAGTAATTATCATTTGAATTCCCTTTAAGAGTTAATTACAGAACCATGTATCATTTTCCATCAACACACTACTATTTAAAAACAAGGTTCTATTTAAATCAATTTCTTGACTTAAAAAAATATATAGATAGATTAGATAGATAGATAGATAGATAGATCAGACTCTACATCCAATGTCAAACATATGGCATATATATTTTTTCCCTAAGTCACATTTTTTTTGTCATTTTCATTAAGCTCAACTCCTCAGAAAACTGCTGATCTTAGATAAGTGGCCCATTTAGAGTAGTTGTATGCATACATATGATTTTCAATCTGTTTAATCAAGATAAAATTGAATGGAATATAATGTCTAAACTTAGAAGAGAGAAAACATCCAGCTGTAACTTTATTGACTACTCTTAACAAGACAATCATTTGGTTCTGTTTTTTGAGTACTTGGGAGTCTCTAAATATCCACACTAGCTTTGAAATATTTCAAAATGTGTAGGTCTGTTTGTGAGAATAAGACCTCTGAAACAAAGCAGCTGCGTAACACAGATTACTATGAATTGGACATAATTAAGTTCATAAAACAAGACTTCATCAGTCACTCATAACAATGTTCTATTTGGCCCTGATAAATTCTGGAGTTTGAAATTGTCAAGTCCCTTCACTTTCCTACATGGAATACATTCTAGGAGAAGATAATTATAAGACAAACTACTAGATATCCATTAAAAATTTGGTGGTTTTTTCCTTTCCTTGCATTATCTTTAATATCTCTAAGAGGAAGCCCATTAATCCTTGCCCCCGGTATTCACACCCTTTCATAGTCTTTTTCTACAATGAAGTAGTGCTGACTCTGGTCGGTGGAAAACTATTAAGTGGTGGCTGTGTCTGACTTCTGATGCCAGTATCCGGTTTGGTCTCTGACTGCTAACTGATCATTTCATGAGCAATCGTGGAAAAGCCCACGAGAGATAATAAATCATGGTTTCCAGCTATTTAACTTTGGGGTGATTTTTTTTATGGGTACCTAGTAATAAATTTAGTATGGGAGGGGAATTGCAACAAAACCTAAAAATGTGGTAGTAACCTAGGGATTGGTATGCACAAGTAAGTGGGAAAGGCCTTGAAAGGAGTGTGAGCAGAACCCTGATGGCTCTTGAGGAGGTCGTCAGTAATGGCTTACAGGAAAGTGAAGAATGAATGTGATTAGAAATGAGAGAAAACTGGAGCCTGGTTATGCTGCAGCAGGAAGTTTAATAACATCGTGATAATATGGGAAGGAAAATTATATTTAGTGCATTAGGTAACCTAGCTAAAGACATTTCAGGCACAAAATTCTGAACATCTATCTATAGGAAAAAGAAGAGAGAAAAACTAAAGGAAAACCATTAAATCCAAAGACAGCAGGACTTGGTGGATTTGAAAATAAAGTATTATTTTCTCAGTTCTAGGCTCTCCAGATGGTAAAAATGCAAAAATTGAGGTCACTTTCAGGCAAAGATCAACTAGCAGTAAAACATAATGTAAAGATAGCAATGAGGTGTGACTGTGATATCCATCTTAAGACTTCCAAAATGTATTAGGTGGTGCCTCAAAGAAGCATTCATTCAGACTAGAGAACTGCTAGACATCTTATTGGTTCTAATGATGTTAAGGGCATTTTTCCCTTAGAATGTCAGCAGAAGTCCAATGTAAAACACCCTTATCTTCATCAGATTCTGGATGTGGCTTTTGCTTAATGGAATAAGCCACAATAACATTCATAGGAAACCCACAAATTATACAACAGTCATGATTCTGGTAACACCACCATCCTGGACTAAAAAGAGACAGAGATGGTACAGAAGGAAGCTATATCTTTAGGCTCTAAACTTCTACAGGCAGGAACTATGCAGCTATAGGCACAGCCTACTTTTTACATAAAAAGGAAGCACTGGTCAGAGTGATAGAACTGTAACCAGAGGGCAGAGCCAAGATCCATGAAGAAACACTTCCAAGAAATATTAGGGGTGAGTCCTAATCCAGGAATCACTAACATGTACCTGATTGGAGTTTAGAACCACTATGGACCAGTTACTTCTGTGTACCTCTTATTTCTCCCTTTTGAACCAGAAAGTCTAAAGTGGTTACTCTATGCCTATCTGATCATCATATGTTGGATGTGTGGTGGTACACAATTCGTTCACAGGTCTTCAGACAAGAAGCTGTATCTAAACAACTTCCTTTGTTCTTAGACTTTCCTAGGAACTTCGGGTTGGTATGAACTTGACTCAGATGATGAGTTGCTGATTCTGAGCAGATTGTTTAATGGAATGAAGCTGTAAGGGGTCTTCGGAGGAAGTAGGGTACTTTTTCATGTGGGGAGAGACATGAATCTTTGTGTCTCAGAGGACAAACTATGGTAACCAATCTCCAAGACAGCCATAAATCTCCTCCTGCTATTCATACCATGTGGTTCCCTCCCACACTGAATCAGTGCTGACCTGTGCAACAGAACATTGTATAAGTGACAGTGTGTCTGTGACTTCCAGGACTTAGTAATGAAAGGCATTAAAGGCTTTACTTTGGTCTCTGGGATCCCTGGTCTGAGAAGCCAGCCCCTATGCCATGAAGAAGCTCAAGCAGCCTGATGGAGAGGCACTCAAGTAGAAACGAAAGAAGACCTAACCCTGAGCAGCAACTCACTAGCCACATGAGTAAGCAATCTTGAATAGAGCTTTCAGTCCTGTCAAGGCTTCAGATGACAGAGGCTGCAGGAAACATAAAACTGCAACCTCATAAGAACCTCAAGCTAGAACTTCCCAGCCAAGTTGCTTCTGAATTACTGGCCCACAAACAAGGACGAGAGAATAAGGTCTTACTGTGCTGGAGACATTAAACTTTGAGGTAGTTTTTATGCAGCAGTCAAGAACATATTATTTGTTTTCTGCATTTGTTCCCTTTCTGTACAGATATAATTTTGGTAAAAATACTAGAGTATTAGTGACTGTGATATTTGCAGTGGCCACTCTATAGTTCAAGAATTAACCTACGTAGTAGATTAATAGCAGGACTCTTTGGCGATACAAATTTGCAGCTGGGATTCTGAGGGTCAGAAATGAAATAGATATAAAACGGATAGAGAGTTAAACTTAATTGAAATTTGCCACATTAATAGGAAGATTATATAGAAGGAAGAGATTAGCTTTTGTTTGTTTTGGCGTAGAACTTTAAATATCTATGAATTTGGAATAAAAAAATGCAATGTGTACACGTGGGTTGTTCCCAGGCTCCGTGATCTGGCAGGGTGACACCCACGCTAATCATCACCTTGCAGCTTGCACTGCCTCTCACTACCAGCGAAATGGGAAACTTACCCTCTTTGCAGGGTCCTTATAATTGTGTAACCTAACTGGCACTTTTGAGTTTTCTGTTTCAAGACTTTGCACATGAAAGCGTCATATCTGATTTGAAGTCCACTCAGTATTTTATTATTCTTGCTGACAAAAAGCCTTACAATTTTAATTCAGAAATACATTAGTGAAAAACATGCTGATACTTGTTTTGGCATCAAAACACCAATCTAAGCAGTTATAAGTCATAAAGTGAACCTGATGGGACAGAGAAAGCAAACAACAGGCAATAGGTTTGAAACTGCATATGGCTAAAGCCACAAAGTATATGAGATTTCTCAATTTATACTTATTTTAAAGTTGGGAAGTTTGGGGTGAGAGAGGCTGGTGGGATGAGGCAAGGATGCTAAAAAACACATTTAGATATTCCTTCTAATATAATCTAAGATGACTATGCAAAATGTCTACTTATCTCTACTGGTTA